TTTTTTTTTTTTTTTTTTTTTTTTTTTTTTTTTTTTTTTTTTTTTTTTTTTTTTTTTTTGTTTTTGTTTTTTTTTTTTTTTTTTTGGTTTTTTTTTTTTTTTTTTTTTTTTTTTGTTTTTTTTTTTTTTTTTTTTTTTTTTTTTTTTTTTTTTTTTTTTTTTTTTGGTTTTTTTTTTTTTTTTTTTTTTTTTTTTTTTTTTTTTTTTGGTTTTTGGTTTGTTTTGTTTGGGTTTTTGTTTTTTTTTTTTTTTTTTTTTGGGGGGGGTTTTTTTTTTTGTGTTTTTTTTTTTTGTGGTTTTTTTTTTTTTTTTTTGTTTTTTTTTTTTTTTTGTTGGGTTTTTTCGTTTCGTGCATATAGACAATGACATGAGGGAGGGGTGTTTTAAGTCAAATTAGGACTTTTAATTTTCCAGGTCTAAAAAGGGATGCTTGGGTGGCGCTACTGCATGCAGTAGTAAGTGGCAAGTGTGTCCTGTTACTGATCGTCACATGTCGGGGTCAGTCCAGAGACTGTTAATCAAGATGGCAGACAGCAGTGTTAGTGCGTGCATGGAACAGCAGGTTTTTTGGTTTTTTTTTTTTTTTTTTTTTTTTTGTTTTTTTTTTTTTTTTTTTTTTGTTTTTTTTTTTTTTGGGGGTTTTTTTTTTTTTTTGGGTATTGTTTCTTTTTTTGGGGGGGGGGGGTTTTGTTTTTTTTTTGTTTTTTTTTTTTTTTGTTCATTTTTTTTTTTGTTTATTTTTTTTGTTTTTTTTTTTTTTGGTTTTTTTTTTTTTTTTTTTTTTTTTTTTTTTGTTTTTTGTTTTTTTTTGGGGTTTTTTTTTTTTTTTTGTTTTTTTTTTTGGGTTTTTTTTTTTTTTTTTTTTTTTTTTTTTTTTTTTTTTTTTTTTGGTTTTGTTTTTTTTTTTTTTTTTTTTTTTTTGGTTTTGTTTTTTTTTGGTTTTGTTTTTTTTGGTTTTGGTTTTTTTTTGGTTTTTTTGTTTTTTTTTTTTTTTTTTTTTTTTTTGGTTTTGTTTTTTTTTGGTTTTGTTTTTTGGTTTTGTTTTTTTTTGGGTTTGGTTTTCTTTTAGTTTTTGGTTTTTTTTTTTTTTTGGTTTTGTTTTTTTTTTTTTGGTTTGGGTTTGTTTTGTTTGGGTTTTCTGTTTTTTTTTTTTTTTTTTGGGGGGGGGGGGGGTTTGTTTTTTTTCTTTGTGTAGTTTTTCTTTGTTGTGTAGTTTTTCTTTGTGTAGTTTTTTTTTTGGGGGGGGAGTGTTGGGTTTGGGTTTCGTTTCGTGCATATAGACAATGACATGAGGGAGGGGGTGTTTAAGTCAAATTAGGACTTTTAATTTTCCAGGTCTAAAAAGGGATGCTTGGGTGGCGCTACTGCATGCAGTAGTAAGTGTCAAGTGTGTCCTGTTACTGATAGTCACATGTCACGGGCCAGGCCAGAGACCGTTGATCAAGATGGCAGACACCAGTGTTAGTGTGTGCATGGAACAGCGTGTGGAGATGACGTATCTTGTGAACGAAGGCGTAAAACCTCCGGAGGTCTACAGAACACTTCAAGCACGGTCCGATGATGAGATGCTCAGCCCTGTAAGACATTTGAATGGTGTAAACATTTCAGTGATGGCCATCCGTACATCCTTCAGTGACCATCGGCCGTGGGGGTTCCCAGCCCACAGCAGTCATTCCTGTGAATGGTCAGTGGGGGGGAATCCTGATTCTGGATAATTGATTGTGAAATTGCAGAAGAGACAAATCTTTGTGTGGGAACAGTGAATACAATGAGGAGGAGGTGAAGCCGGCTGTCCTAGGATGGTTCAGGCGTACTGACAAATCTTTCTATGCCGAAGCTTTCCAGGCATTAGTTAGACACTGTGATAAGTGTATAAATGTAGCAGGGGAGTATATCAGAAAATAAATGCAGTTTCCACTTCCAGAAATGTGTTCTTTTATTTATATAAACTCAAAAGTCCTGATTTGACTTGAATGCCCCTCCTATAAAACCACCAAATTTTAAAAAAGACAAAAAACAGAACCACACCCATACAGTTACCAGCCGCTTTATTAAGCACACCTTGCTAGTTCCGGGTTGGACCCCCTTTTTGCCTTCATTCTTGGTGGCATAGCTTCAACAAGGTGTTGGATACATTCCTCAGAGAGTTTGTTCCATATTGAAATGAGTTTGTTTCCTTTCTATCATCTTGAACCAGTCTGCCTATTCTCTAACATCAGCATTTTCATCCACACAACTGCTGCTCACTGGATGGTTTTTTTTTTTTTGGACCATGCTCTGTAATCCCTAGAGATGGTTGAGCGTGAAAATTCAGTAGATCAGCAGTTTTTGAACTACTCAGACCAGCCCGTCTGGCACCAACAACCATGCCACGTTCAAAGTCACTTAAATCCCCTTTCTTCCCCATTCTGATGCTCGGTTGGAACTTCAACAAGGCGTCTTCACAACGTCTAGATGCCTAAATTCATTGAGTTGCTGCCATGTGATTGGCTGATTACCAATTTGTGTTACCAAGCAGTTGAACAGGTGGACCTAATAAAGTGGCCGGTGAGTGTATAGCACCATTTACATTGTAAGATTCGTATATTATGATTCATCCAATAATTCACATGTAGGCTCAGTGCGTTTCGTTTGCTGTGTGATATGGGACACGACTGGATGCCATGCTGTATATCACAAAAAACCCCGCCGTATTAAACCCCTTGGTGCCGGTGCCTCCCGGCCCTTTAAGGGTTTCAAAAGCTGGGAGGCGGGGTTTAGGGTCCTGTGACCGCCATGACACGGCGGTCACATAATCGGGAAAGGTCCCGATCGAAAGAGGAGATCGGGACCTTTCCGTGAGTACCAGACGTGTGCTGGGAGCACGTGAGGCGCGCGCTCTCAGCATACATGGGGTTTTTTTTTTAGTTGAATGCAAATGTGCGGCCGCTCGGCTTCTAGGCCCAGACCCTGGGAGGCCACATATTTGCGTTCGGCTGGCGCCAAGAGGTTAAACTTAGTTTAGACTCCACCTACCTTCCCTTAGTGTGATCTGCATATACCAATGCCAGCACTAAACCAACACTCCAAACAAAGACAACTTTATTCATACAAAATTGTGCCGAGACAAGCAATCCCCATTAAAAACACAATAATAAAAAACCAAATCCACCCCGCCCTATCCGATTTGTAGGACCTTATAAATAATTATGTGCATACGGTACAGTATACCCAATATGTGTGCATATACACATACAGTGGGGGGAATATAATTCTTTGATTCTCCGCAGATTTTGTAAGTTTTCCCCACTTACAAAGAAATGAAGGGTCTATAATTTATATCATAGGTGTATTTTACATGATAGAGACAGAATATCAACCGAAAATCCAGAAAAACACGATACAAATGTTATAAATTGAGTTGCAGTTCAGTGAGTAAAGTGTTTGATCCCCCACCAAGCAGAAATAATTCTGGCTCCCACATTCTAATAATTCTGGCTGTGTATCACATGGCTATGTGCTCATGTGGTACACAGGTTAGTCCTGTCAACGTTAGAAGGTGCTCCTAAAGACAACTCCATTATGTGTATGGAAGACCTGTCCACAGAATCTTTCTTCCATTCAAACCTCACCACCATGGGCAAGACCAAAGAGCTGTCAAAGGACATCAGGGACAATATATTAGACCTGCACAAGGCTGGAATGGGCTACAAGACCATCAGCAAGAAGCTTGGTGACAACTGTTGGAGCGATTATTTGGAAGAAATACAAAATAACCATCAATCACCCCCGGTCTGGAGCTCCATGCAAGATTTTGCATCATGGGGTAAGGATGATGAGAAAAGTGAGGGATCAGCTCGGAACCACATGGGAGGAGCTTGTGAATGATCTCAAGGCAGTTGGGACCACAGTCCCTAAACAAACCATTGGTAACACAATACGCAGCTATGGGTTGAAATTCTTCAGTGCCTGCAAGGTCCCCCTCTTCAAGAAGGCACATGTACAGGCCCGTCTGAAGTCTGCCAATGAACATCTAAATGATTCAGAGAAGGATTGGGAGAAAGTGTTGTGGTCAGATGAGACCAAAATTGAGCACTTTGGCATTAACTCGACTCACCGTGTTTGGAGGAAGAAAAATGCTGACTATGATCCTAAGAACACCATCCCTACAGTCAAGCACGGAGGTGGAAACATTATGCTTTGGGGCTGTTTCTCTGCTAAAGATACAGGCTGACTTTGCCACATTGAGGGGCCAATGGACGTGGCCATCTATCGTTAAATCTTGGATGAGAATCTTCTTCTCTCAACCAAAACACTGAAGATGGGTCGTGGATGGGTGTTTTCAAGCATGACAATGACCCAAAACATATCGCCACGACAACAAAGGAGTGGCTCAAGAAGAAACACATTAAGGTCATGGAGTGGCCTAGCCAGTGTCCAGACCTTAATCCTATAGAGAATGTATGGAGGGACCTGAAACTTCGAGTTGCCAAGTGACAGCCAAGAAACCTTAAAGATTTAGATCTGTAAAGAAGAATGGAACAAAATCCCTCCTGAGATGTGTGCAAACCTGGGAAGCAACTACAAGAAACATCTTACCTCTGTGCTGGCCAACAAGGGATTCTCCACCAAGTACCAAGTCATGTTTTGCTTGGGGATCAAATACTTATTTTACTGACTGAACTGCAACTCAATTTATAACATTTGTATCGTGTTTTTTTTTTGGATTTTTGGTCGATATTCTGTCTCTACCATTTAAAATACAACGATGATAAAAATTATAGAAAAAAATTAATTTATTTATTTATTTAAAATGTATTTATTTACATTTATTTATTTAACCGCCTCCTGCCCGCCATATAGTCCAATGACGGGCGCAAGGCGGTTCTCTCGTTCTGGGAGGACTTCATATAACGTCCTCCCATTCTCACTGCGCATGCGCGGCTGCGAGAGCGCGCAGCGATTGGCGGTGCGCTGTGTCCCTTGGACACAGCGGATCACCGATCCACGGAAATAGCCGAAGATGTCAGCTCAGTCATGTGATCAACTGTGTCCAATCACAGCATGTAAACAGGGTAATGCCGGTTATCGCCATTTCTCTCCTCACGAGCTGTCACGCTGACAGAGGAGAGCCGGTAATCGGCATTCCGCGGAGGGGAGATGTACACTGATCATCAGGGCACTGGTGATCAGTGTGCCCTGATGATCTGTGTAGCCCCAGCAGTGCCACCTGTCAGTGTCCATCAGTGCCAGCTCTCAGTGCTCATCCATGCCACCTGCCAGTGCCCATCAGTGCCCATCTGAGCTGCCTTTCATTGTCACCCATAAGTGCCAGTCAGTGCCACCTATCAGTGTCATATATCAGTGCTGCCTTTCAGTGCCCAACAGTGATGATTATCAATGCCCATCAGTGCCACCTACCAGTGCCTCCTCATCAGTGCCATATATCAGTGCTGCCTTTCAGTGCCCATCAGTGATGATTTTCAATGCCCATCAGTGCCACCTACCAGTGCCTCCTCATCAGTGCCACCTATCAGTCTCCATCAGTGCAGCCTATCAGTGCCCATCACTGCAGCCTCGTTAGCGCACATCAGTGAAGGAGAAAAATCACTTATTTACAAAATTTTATAACAAAAACTAAGAAAAAACTTTTTTTTCAAAATTTTCAGTGGTTTTTGGTTTGTTTAAGAAAAAATAAAAAACCCCGAGGGGATTAAATACCACCAAAATAAAGCTCTATCTGTAAAAAAAAATGATTAAAATGTCATATGGGTACAGTGTTGCATGATCGCGCAATTGTCAATCAGAATGTGACAGTGCTGGAAATTGGCCTGGGCAGGAAGGGGGTATAAGCGTCCTGTAGGCTAGTGGTTGAAATGTATTTATTTAAAAAATGTATTTATTTATTTAAAATGATAAAAATGAATTCATTTATAATAAATTTAAATTATAGAAAAACAAGTAAAAAAATTATACAATTATAGACTCTTCATTTCTTTGTAAGTGGGCAAACGTACAAAATTTGCAGGGGATCAAATCAATATTTTCCCCACTGTATACACGTTAGGAAGGATTCAGGATTGGCTTCAACTTGGAGGATCCTGTGGCTTATATATCCATCCTAAACGTTCATAAACCATCCACCGTGTTATGAATGGACAACAAAGTCCAGGAATCCTCTCTTATATAACTGACTGTAGAGTCCCAGTAGGCTGGGGTGTTTGGCTGATAATCATATTCCGGAAGGTGTGTCAAATGTATGAATATTTACTTGTGAGCCACTGTGATTATAAATTATTAAATATTGTGGTTCGCTGACATTAATCACATCCTCATAATCATGTGCAATATTATAATACCAAAAAAACAAAAATGTCGCGCTCCAAAATTGAAATTAATTAAAATATATCCAAAATCTTAAAATCGTTTTTGGATCACAATTAGGACTTATGTGACTGTCACAATTATAAAACATATTTATTTATTTGAGTTTATCACATTTAAGTTGTAATAGTTTTTAATAAGGCACAGTTGATTTTTATTATTAATTTTACAAATTAATTGAAATATTTATCACATTAATCATATAAATTGAATTGATGGCAAATATGGAACAAGGCACAATTGATTATATATTTGGTTGAGTATTTAAATCACTGGGAATTTTTTGGAGATATTTAAATTAATTTCAATTTTGGAGCGCGACATTTTTGTTTTTTTCATACTCGGGAAGGTGTTCCGGTAGCGTGGTCTAGAGGAGGATGTATAGAAGGAGTAACGTCCAGTGGAATCAACTCAATAAGGGCAAGCTAATGGCAGCCTTGCCATAACCTCCCTCACACGCCAGCTAGGCAGTCCTTGACAAGTACTGGGGGTTGAATGAACATGGGCCAGTATATGGGAAGAGTCCTCTCTTGTATGAATAACTAACCATATGGTCCCAGTTGGCACAGGCACCCTTCGTGAATACAGTAGTATATTGTTCAGCTGTTAATGCCCCAGATGGTGATCAGGCGGCATGATGTTCAGGCGGCATGATGTTCAGGCGGCAGGGTGTTCAGGTGCTATGGTGTTCAGGTAGCAAGGTGTTCAGGTGCTATGGTGTTCAGGTGGCATGGTGTTGAGGTGGCATGGTGTTGAGGTGGCATGGTTGTTGAGGTACCATGGTGTTCAGGTGGCATGGTGTTGAGGTACCATGGTGTTCAGGTGGCATGGTGTTGAGGTACCATGGTGTTCAGGTGGCATGGTGTTGAGGCGGCATGGTGTTCAGGTGGCATGGTCTAGAGGAGGGCACATACAAAGAGTAAAATCCAAAAATATCGACTCAGCACGTTTAGAGCACAACCTTCCTTGCACACGAGCTAAACAAATGATAGTCCTTTAAGAAATTGGGGGGCTGAACGACCATGGGTCAGTACATGGAACAGTCCCATCAGAATTGATTGATTGCCTAGACTGCCTAGATTGCCTAGGGATGGCAAACCTTTTAGAGACCGAGTGCCCAAACTGCAACCCAAAACCCATTTATTTATCGGAAAGTGCCAACACTGCAAGTAAACTTGAATACTGAGGTTTTCGTTTAGAAAAAACAACCCGTACAAAAACACAATAACAGCTTCCACTGACCACCAGCTTAAGGGAGCAAAGTTCTACTGACCACCGGCATAAGAGGACAACGTGCTGATGACCACCAGCACAAAGGGGCAATGTTCCACTGGTCACCAGCACAAAGGGGCAATGTTCCACTGGTCACCAGCACAAGGGGGCAATGTTCCACTGGTCACCAGCACAAGGGGGCAATGTTCTACTGGTCACCAGCACAAGGGGGCAAAATTTCACTGACCACCAGCACAAGGAGGCAAAGTTCTACTGACCACCAGCACAAGGGGGCAAAGTTCTACTGACCACCAGCACAAGGGGGCAAAGTTCTACTGACCACCAGCACAAGGGGGAAAAGTTTCAATGATCACCAGCACAAGGGGGCAATGTTCTACTGACCACCAGCACAAGGGGGCAATGTTCTACTGACCACCAGCACAAGGGGGGAAAGTTCTACTGACCACCAGCACAAGGGGGGAAATGTTTCAATGATCACCAGTACAAGGGGGTAAAGTTCTACTGATCACCAGCACAAGGGGACAAAGTTCTACTGACCACCAGCACAAGGGGGCAAAGTTCGGATCACCAGCACAAGGGGGCAAAGTTCCACTGACCACCAGCACAAGGGGGCAAAAAGTTCCACTGACCACCAGCACAAGGGGGAAAAGTTTCAATGATCACCAGCACAAGGGGGAAAAGTTTCACTGATCACCAGCACAAGGGGGCAAAGTTCTACTGATCACTAGCACAAGGGGGAAAGGTTTCACTGACCACCAGCACAAGGGGGCAAAGTTCTGATCACCAGCACCAGGGGGCAAAGTTCCACTGACCATCAGCACAAGGGGGCAAAGTTCTACTGATCACCAGCACAAGGGGACAAAGTTCTGACCACCAGCACAAGGGGGAAAAGTTTCACTGACCACCAGCACAAGGGGGCAAAGTTTCAATGATCAATAGCACAAGGGGGCAAAGTTCTACTGATCACCAGCACAAGGGGGCAAAGTAATTTTCTAGCAAAAAAAAAAATGCAGATTTTTACTTGTATGTGAGAAATGTCAGAATTTATGTTGGGTGATGGTGTTTAATTTTTTTCTGTAAAGGGTATGAGTTTTGTTCAGTTGTTCACTAGGACACCAAATCTGCAGTAGCAGAGGGGAGCAAGGACTTGCTGCTTTGCCTCCTACACTATGGACTGGATTTTATTCAGGAAATTGTGTTTCTGGAAATAACTGATCTATTGAGAGAAAAATTTGTTGGCTTCCATTGCTGACCTCACCTTAAAATGCTGGACTCTCTGGTTTTACTGCTTCGTAATTTACTGACCCCAAACAAGTGAAGTCAATATTGAGGACCGTGAATTCTTGTTCTGGATCAGTGACTTGGAATGTGTTAAAGAAATATTTCACCTCTTAAAGGAAACCTGTTCTAAAATATGTAGACTGCCATTGCTGACCTCTCTTCCTGAAAATGCCAGAGGACTGGCCCTCATGCTGATCTAATGTCTTTAAAAGAGAAGTATGCAAATAAAAAAAATAAAACAAACATTCATACTCACTTAAATGGTTGCGGTCGCTCTACGCTGAGAACTCAATGATCAAAGGCGGATGATCGCTCAGTTCTTGGTTGGCTCTGAGAAGAGAGCGGTGGCTGTTGGTCACTGCTCTCTGCTCTGCTCCTCCAGTGCTGTGGAGGGAGGGCTGGCTCAGGCTCTCAGTGGTGTTCTGAGAGGTCGAGCCAGCTGCTGGTCAGGTATCTGGGCGAATCCTGACATTACTGTCAGGATCCCTGCAGAAGAGAGCGGTGACTGTTGGTCACCGCTCTCTGCTCTGCTCCTCCAGTGCTGTGGAAAGAGAGAGGGCTGGCTCAGGCTCTCAGTGGCGTTCTGAGAGGTCGAGCCAGCTGCCAGTCAGGTATCTGGGCGACTCCTGACATTACTGTCATGATCCCTGCAGAAGAGAGCGGTGACTGTTGGTCACTGCTCTCTGCTCTGCCCCTCCAGTGTTGTGGAGGGAGGGGGGCTGGCTCAGGCTCTCAGTAGCATTCTGAGAGGTCGAGCCAGCTGCCGGTCAGGTATCTGGGCGAATCCTGACATTACTGTCAGGATCCCTGCAGAAGAGAGCGGTGGCTGTTGGTAACTGCTCTAAGCTCTGCCCCTCCAATGCTGTGGAGGGAGGGGGGGCTGGCTCAGGCTCTCAGTGGCATTCTGAGAGGTCGAGCCAGCTGCTGGTCAGGTATCTGGGCGAATCCTGACATTACTGTCATGATCCCTGCAGAAGAGAGCGGTGACTGTTTAATTATTAATAATAATAATTGAATGAAATAATAATTATTATTAATAATAATAACAATAATAACAATAACAATGCTAATAATAATAAAAAAATTAACACCCTAACAAAAAAATAAATAAATTATTATTAATAATAAAAAATAAAAATAATAATAATAAAAAAAAAATAAATTAACACCCTTCATTATATACAGGAGATTTGGGGACATCTATCCAGAAGGATCCGTGGGGGTGTATTTTCTATAAAACAGAGATGTCAGTAAAACAATATAAAAATAGTTTATTATATCTGATTAGTGCGGCAAAGGGTTCAATCCCTAAATTTTGGAAAGCCCGGGATCCTCCAACAACAAGGGATTGGATAGACAGAATTAAATATGTTAGCAGGATGGAGGAACTTTGTTACATGGAGAAAGATGAAATGTAGAAATATTTGGGGTAGATGGTATGAGTTTAAAACATCAGAAAAATATTTAAAAATGAAAGGCCCCCCGATAGTAGAACCAGAGAATTTAAATGATTAAAGAGATCTATATACATGACTAGATTAATAGGAGGGGAAAGAGAGGACAAAATGAAATTGGACAGGGGTGTTCTGGGGAGGGAATGGGGATAAATTGTACGTGTATCAGGGGTGGACTGACAACTCATGGGGCCCTCCGGGCAATAGGGGATCATGGGGCCCCTGTGTCCTTGCTCACACTCAAAGCACACCCAAAAAAAGCCTATAAAAAAGGTACCAGGGGCATTTCATGGGGCCCCCTACTGACCCCGGGCCCTCGGGCTGTGCCAGAGTACTCGAATGGTCA